TCCTGTGGAGTGGAATGAAATCAATGCTGCCTGGGGCCAGACAGTGTTGCTGCTCCATGCACTAGCCAATAAGATGGGTCTGAAGTTTCAGAGGTACCGACTTGTTCCCTATGGAAATCATTCATATCTGGAGTCTCTGACAGACAAGTCTAAGGAGTTGCCGTTATACTGTTCTGGGGGATTGCGGTTTTTCTGGGACAACAAGTTTGACCATGCAATGGTAGCTTTTCTCCACTGTGTGCAGCAGTTCAAAGAGGAGGTGGAGAAGGGCGAGACACGATTTTGTCTTCCATACAGGATGGATGTGGAGAAAGGCAAGATTGAAGATACTGGAGGCAGTGGTGGCTCTTATTCCATCAAAACGCAGTTTAAGTCTGAGGAGCAATGGACGAAAGCACTCAAGTTCATGCTGACGAATCTGAAGTGGGGTCTTGCTTGGGTGTCCTCACAGTTCTATAACAAGTGACTTATTCCCTAGGGGATGTTTGCCTTTAAGGTTTTATATTTGGTTTGGTTTGGAAGATGCTTTAAATTAAATCTGGGTGATATTAAACTACATGTTTACAATAAAAAAAAAAGAATTAGACATTCAAAGTAAAATGATAAAGCTTGGAAGTAGAATATGATTTAAATCAGTATGAAATTTGCAACATGTGGCTGAGAGCTGAATCATCAGTTTAAACTATGTTTAAAAGCCTGCAGTAGCATAGGGGACTTGAGGAGTAAGTGCCAATGGACTTGAAGTGAGGTGTGGCCAGTGTTACTGCAAAGGGGAACTACAGAAGGAAAGGTAAAGCCCAAGTGACTACAAAGTGATGACAGTACTAATTTGTGGATAAGGATTCTACCAAGGAACATAATTACAAAAAGGAAGTTAGACCATTTCAAATAGAGGTCATATCAAGCCCTGAGAATTAATGATTAAATAAGTCAATATAGATGTTCAGATCATTTGGAAATGAATTCTAAGCCAAATTCTTATCAGAATGATAACAATCAAAATAAGAATCACATTGACAGCTGCACTACAGCTCATGGAATTTACCTGTTTTTGATACCAGTATGCCCTGTTCTACTGATGTAGCGGGGACTCACGTGCTCTTATTGACATGTGAATTAACTGCTTAAACAAACACTTATGTTAATATGTGAATCTCATATGTTAATCACAAATCTGAGTAAACTAGGTCCCTGCTCTAATTACTAAGTGGTTAGGTACCAGACAACTAAGGTCAGACATTATTCAATAGAACTAGGTAATTAAACACTAGTTTGGTATATGTAAGTCGATGTTACCACAGTTTTAAGTTGTTTTTATGCTGCCCTTAGGGGCAAGCACATTTGTGGGCATGAGTGATATTTTACTGCCTTTGTAGTTGCAAGTATCAAAGTTGTGTGTTTTATGTATCTGACTATCATTAATACTACAATATTGCATCCTGTCACGGAATCTTTAAATTTCATAAGATACTTATGTTCTGAGAAATTTTGTTATTGGAAAAAGAACTTGGATGATAGAAAAATTTCATCAATACTAGTTTTCGCCACAGTTTATTAAATTTGGCAAAGACTGCACTAAATCTAGCCTAATAGGCACAATTTGATGAAGAAGGAAACATTCTTTTTGAGATGAAGCTGAGACCATTTCAAGGCCAGTGTATATTTATAACCCATCCAAACAACTTGATAGATGGAAGAGCAAAAGCCAGAAAAATCCAATAAAATTGTTACATCTAGAGTCAAAGCAAAAAATAAATCCTTGGTGACAGTAATATTAAGCTTATGCCACAATCTCAATGCATATATACTCCCAAGAGAACACATTTGAGCAAAACAGAGTGAAAACTTCAAAACACTAATGTGTTTTGCTATGGATCAAGGAGTTTCCTCTAGAGTGTGAAAACTTGGCTTCCTTTCATTACATTAAAGACAACAAGAAAAGCATGCTACAGAAGATTGCTGAGCTCTGCATTTCTGCATGTAAATTAACCAATTTAAACAAACAAAACCAATGAAATGTGATTCACCCAATTACAATTAAGACTAGCTCAATATATTTGGAATCAGCATGACACTTTTCCTTTGGACTACCACTGTCCCTAGAGAATTCAGCAGCAGTATAAAGGGTCAGGCTTATTCAATTATTAAATATCCCACTGGGATCTTGCTGGCTTTTCTGAGTAGAATTACAGCAATGAGAAATGTGTGAATGCTTGGTACTGTGCATATGTTTTCACCTTATCCATTTTTAAAATACTTGAGTAAAAAAAAAAATGCACCCTATATTTATTCATTGCCAATTTTTCTTTCATTCAGTACAGCGTGTTTAAATAACCAAACTCAGATTTTTATTATTCATACTTCTAGTGCATGTGTTATTTTCTTTGGTGTGGATCTGACAAATGTTTATTTGAATTCTCCTAATAAAAACCATGAATGTCTTCTTTCATTGGTTAATGTAGAAATTAATGATAATTATTCATGATAAATATTGCAACATTTAAATGAGCTTGAAATAAAATAAGATAATATCATTTTGTTCTACTTAAATAGTAGATATTTTGAACATTAAAAATCTGTCCCACAGGAAGTAGCAATAAACCATGTCAGGTAACTTAAAAAGATACTATATTCCTATTTATAAATTTTGATTATATTTAGAAAATATTTTAAAAAAACATTAAAATATGTGTGTTAGTGTTAAATGCTTAATTTATATATATATGAATGCACTGGATAATCTTTAAATGACGCTAGACATACTCATCTTTTCAAATACTTATCATTTCTCTATAATGAAACTTTCGAGTCTTTCCTTCCAAGTTTTTGCAATGCATGACTCATTATTTTTGAAAGTTCCTCTAATGTGCAATATACCAGAAGACCTTACTCTTCCCTAGGAATGAATTATTATATGTTTGGATCCACACTGCTAAGCTCATAGTCAGGTCCTGTGGAGCTTTCTATGAGGTCATGGAACCTGTAGGATGTGGGACCTACTAAAATATTTAGGTCCTGTGAGTCTGGCTCTTGATGAATATATTGAGACTATGAATATTCTATCACTCTCTCTATGTCTATGGACATCATAACTGAAATAAAATGGTATCATAAATTTGGTTAATGTGAGAGTACATTTGGTTAGTCACATTTTCCATAGTGATATAATCTTTCCAGAAAGCTTGACATAATAAGCAATGACTTCCAAACTTTTTTGTTTTCATTTTTTAAACATTTTATTTATTCCTAGACAATTTCACACACACACACACACACACACACACACACACACACACACACACACACACGTATAGATAGATAGATAGATAGATAGATAGATAGATAGATAGATAGATAGATAGATAGATAGATAGATATGGATTTTTGGCAGGCTCTGCTCCTAGCTACTGTGGAGTTTTGGTTGGCTTTGGCTAAATATCATCACCTTCCACTTTGGAGTTTATGAGTCAAGTTTTCTTTGGCCAGAGTGCTCTTTGTGCATGTCACAGCTCTTCTTTTCCTTAAAGTATGGCCCAATGCTTTTGGCCTTACCTGCCTCAAGTTCTCCCATGGGGGAACAGCTAAGCCTGGTACATTCAATTGAGGCAGGACCAAGTCCCTCCCTGCTTTATCAGGGGTGAGCAGGGTGTCTAAACATAATAGAATAATAACAGAATAATAACATTTGTTAGTCCTCTTATTTCTCTGTTAAGTTTCTGTCTGGTAGAATTGTCCATTGGTGAGAGTGCTGAGTTGAAGTCCCCCTTTCTTAGTGTGTGGGTTTGATGTGTGATTTAAGCTTTAGTAATGTTTCTTTTATGAATGTAGATGCCCTTGTATTTGGGGCATAAATGTTCAAAATTGAGACTTCATGTTGTTAAATATTTTCTGTGATGAATAAGTAATGGCCTTCTCAATGTCTTTTGATTAATTTTAGTTTGAAGTCTGTTTTGTTAGATATTAGGATAGTACACCAGCTTGCTTCTTAAGACCCTTTGACTAGAAAGACTTGTCCCAGCCCTTTATTCTGAGGTACTATCTGACTTTGATGTTGGGGTGTGTGTCTTGTATGCAGCAGAAGGATGGATTCTGTATTAGTATCTATTGTGTTAGCCTGTGTCTTTTTATACGTGAATTGAGTCCATTGATATTAAGAGATATTAATGACCAGTGATTGTTAATTCCTTTTTTGGTGGTAGTCTTGTACATTTTGCTTCTTTGGGATTTGTTGGTGTGGGATTATATATTGCCTGTGTTTTCATGGGTGTTTCTAATTTCCTTAGGTTGGATTTTTCCTTCTAGTACTTTCTGGAAGGCTGGATTTGTGAATAGGTATTTTTAAATCTGGTTTTATCATGGAATATTTTGTTTACTCTGACTATAATGATTGAGAGTTTTGCTGGGTATAATAGTCTGGGTAAGCATCCATGGTTTCTTTTTTCTTTTTCTTTTTTTTTCTTTTTTCTTTTTTTTTTTTTTTGGTTTTTCGAGACAGGGTTTCTCTGTGTAGCTTTGCCCCTTTCTTGGAACTCACTTGGTAGCCCAGGATGGCCTCGAACTCACAGAAATCTCCCTGCCTCTGCCTCCCTAGTGCTGGGATTAAAGGTGTGCACCACCACTGCTCAGCGCATCCATGGTTTCTTAGCGTCTGCATAATGTCTGGCCAGGACCTTCTAACTTTCAGAGTCTCCGTTGAGAAGTTGAGTGTTATCCTGAGGGGTCTGCCTTTATATATTTCTTGGTCTTTTTCTTTTGCTGCTATTAATATTTTCTTCATTCTGTATATTTAGTGATTTGATTATTAGGTGGTGAGGTTGGCTTCTTTTTTGGTTCTAGTCTATTTGGTGTTCTGTAACCTTCTTGTATCTTCATAGGCATTTCATTTTTAAGTTAGGAAATTTTTTTCTTCTATGATTTTGTTGAAAATATTTTCTGTGCCTTTGAGTTGGTATTATTCTCCTCCTTCTATCCACATTATTCTTAGGTTTGACTTTTTCATGGTGTCCCAGATTTCCTGGACATTTTGTGTTGTGACTTTTCTGGCTTTAGTATTTTCTTTGACTGAGTAATCTATTTCCTCTGTTGTATCCTCCATGCCAGAGGTTCTTTCTTCCATCTCCTGTATTCTGTTGGTTATGCTTGCATCTGTAGTTCGTGTTCTTTACTCAGATTTTCTATTTCCAGCATTCTCTCAGTTTGTGTCTTCTTCATTGTTTCTATTTCAATTTTCAGGTCTTGAACTGTTTCCTTCACCTCTTTAATTGCTTTTATTCTTGGTTTTCTTGACTTTCTTTAAGAGATTTATTGATTTCTTGTAGCGAGAGTTTTCCTGGTCTTGCCTGGCCCACAGTCAGGACAAATCTCTCTTACCTGCCAGTCCTGTAGCCACTCAGACCCAACCAAGTAAACACACAGAGACTTATATTGGTTACAAACTGTATGGCCATGGCAGGCTTCTTGCTAACTGTTCTTATGTAGAATCACTAGGTTCTGATGGTGTCATGTTGCTCTTTATGTTGTTGAATGTATTCTTGCATTGGTGTCTATCCATCTCTTCCTCCAATTAGTGCAAAAGGTG